TAAAAGGCACCCTCTCCGAGCTACAGTCACATTAAATTTGGTAAAAAATAGTACATTGTCTTATTAGGATCAAATGTGACACTTTGTTTGACAAGCGATATTTGCGTTTGCGAGGCGGAGCGACCGCGAAGCTGGGCACGCGAATTATGCGAGTCAAACAGAGTCACTTTCGATCCGAATGAAACATGCTATTTTTTCTACAACACTATTTTGACTCACTTGAGCATGTCGGTGTCAAAGCAGCTATCATATCAGCTGTCATCCGATACACTTCTAGTTCCTAGGAGTTGAACTTCAACTTTAGCTCCTTTACACTGAAAGTGTTGCCTAGCAACATAAATAATTATCATTTTATTGGTTCAGTAACAGAAACGTCAACTTCAAGGGCTAGTTTTGAAACAAAAATGGACGACTTTCGAGAAAAAAAAAGATTATCTAAAATTGTGACTAAGATCCATAATGTATTGTCACCGAAATTATGAACACCTGCCAAATTTCAAGTAAATCGGAGTTATGGAATTTTTGTTGAAATTGAAATAAATGGCTGCTCCAAGATGGCGGACAAGATTTGGTCCGATTCCATTCAAAATTAGTAAGTGGGGGTTTTTAAGGTCGGAGATCATGATTTTTTTGTTAAAATTTATAAATTCAAGATGGCGGCTTCCAAATAATTTTTGTTTTTGTATAAATGACGATAACTCCGTTGTTATCAACACAAAACTATCACTGCGACATATCATCTGTAAGAGAAAAAAAAGTTATTTGTAACTAAGTCATAGTGAGCTATGACCTACATTTGAAAAACTAAAGTTGGTGCTGATATCTCAAATTCTAGAAGAGTTGTTATTAATTTCATATTTTTTTCGAAATCACTTTGAAAAACTGCCTTGAGAATGTGAAATTCCTATTTGAATATTCTCATAAATAAAGAAGTTACGGAGGAGACATGAAAATGATCAAAATATGTTTTTTGCGTATAAAACAAAAACAAATAGATTTTATCAAAATATTTTTTCACATTATAGTTGGCCTTGACAAACTCCACATTTGGTTTCATTCAACCGACCTCGTATCTCTCACCAAAGATACCCATAGTGAGCATGGTAAGTGGGACACACTGTATTTTAATTAGTCTAAATTTGTGTCCGTATCCCACTCATCAACACCTGGAAATTTCAAAGTTATTCAATTTATTATTTTGATAGCTTGATTTGGAACAGAGTTAGTTGCACCTGTAAATCCTTCAAACAATATGAAACATTTATTGACAAGTCGCCACAGGTGGAATGCAGTCTTGTCTTTATTATAGCATAGATTTTGCCGAGAATAATACAGGGTGAGTCAAATTTTTGTAGCAGGAGTTCAACAGCTTAAATAAGATGACAATTTTCTATAAATACTCCAAAAGTGTATCACCTTGTAGATATTCAAGAACACTCGATAGCCCCAAATATTACGTTTCTTCTTCTGAAGAATATAGGAGAAAACTTGCGAAAAAAGAAAGGGTAGCAAAAAGTATTCAAATTGAAGGGAGAGTTCAAATTGTTGTTTCATAGAAAACAGAGGCATTACGCAAAAAAGTTTGGAAGGGTCAACTCGGGTACGACACTAGAAAGTTTATCATCCTGTAGGAATTCAAGAACGTTCGGTAGCACCAAATATTGCGTTCTCAAAGTGAAATAAGTGTTCCAAATTTCAATTCTTCATTTTGGAAATTGTACAGGAGGAAATTGGAAAAACACAAAAAAATCATAAACTTTGAAAACCTGTATATCGGAAACAAAGCTCCCACGCATATATATGTTTACATATAATTTTCATCATAAAAAAATGTCCTGCTACATAAAACTGATTCATCCTTAGTAGACAAAACTTCTGAACTCAAAAAATCAGTCAGAAGTACTCAAACTGAACTGTGGATCTTGTCCAGTGAAAAAATTACATGTCAAAATCAATTTACTTCTATTTGCTTTAATCTAAATCTAGAACCTCTTTGAAAAAATCCATTTTGGATCATAACGAGCGAGGATTGAGAAATTCTAGCACATTCCAGTAAATATTTTGAAGTTTCTCATCACTTTCTCTTCTGATATACGTTACGAGGAGCGATCAAATGAAAATTACATTCCGCATATTCTCAAAATGCAATAATTTGTTTTTTAAGTTTTTCTGGCTGGAGGACTTTGGTCGATGGCCATTTGGCTAAACCAACAATTATTATTTTTATTATATATTGTCATTATTATGGATCTTATTATGACTCATTAGACATTGACATTGATTGTATCAATCACAATCTCCTCTCCTATTCTAACATTTTTGCAACTTATTCATTTCCTGTTTAGGGCATCGAAATCCATTATTGTTGTACCGTTTGGTCGCGAACATATGCAGCCGACCTCGTATCAGTAGCCGAAGGTCATATCTGTTTGGCAACCTCGTTTATAGACCCGTCGACCTATAAATTTCGCTGAAATTGTGTATTTGACGATCAATCTAGCTGTGGCTGTTGATAAACTTCCCTCTTGTTATGCGAAACAAATGATTGGTGTATTGATTCGGGTAGCCCGATCGTGATGAAAGACCGTTTTGCGTGAGTTGTTCTTTTTCGATGGGCCAAGGAGATTGGTCTTGAACGCTTTCATTGAAATTGACAATGACAGGGGTTGCACCCATCAAAGTACCAGAAACAGCGTTGTCAGACCTAGTGCTTTCGTACTAGATCTAGTACTTTTTCACTCTGTCTAGTACGTTAGTACGCCGATTGCAAAATTCGTACGTTTTCCACTTTTCGAAATATCGACATTACCGAAATGAACCAAAGAAAAGTTCGATGTGCAACATCAGGGAAATGTCATTATGTCTCATTTCTTTACTATGCAGTTCATATTACGTGTCAATATCGTGTATTGTCATTTGTCAATTGTTTTTACGTTGCTCTAAGTTATGATTATGACTAAAAATGGATGACAGAATGACGATTGACTGTTTTGAAGTGTTTTGACTAATGAAAAATGAGATAAATATTCAGTAAATGAATTTTCATTATCTTTTTTTCCTTGTCTCTCTTCCCCCTCCTCCCGTATCCTTACTGAATAGTAGGAAGTTTGAATGAAAATACAAGCTAGTACTTTTCTCGAAAAACTAGTACTTTTTCGATGATTTTTCAGTACATTTTGGGTTGCTGGGCTGCCAACGCTGACCAGAAGCGTCTAGCTACACCAACGAATCTTTCAAACATCGAGGTCAAGTGACCTCACCCACAACAAGGGTGGCGTTGAAATAAGTGCAAATATTTCAAACATTGAGAAAGCTCGACGTGTACTATCGAATGGCACTAATAAAAAAAATTAGGGTTCAAAATAAAATTTGAGGTTAGACCCTTTTTTCCACCCAAAGTTCTACACTGTAGCAAATCTGACGTCACCCCTGTTCAAATTTCTATGCGGTCAGCACAATCACGCGGAGTTCAATCATTTAAACTGTTTTACAGTGGCTTACTTGATTTTTTTCTCGTATGTTGTTCAATTTTTGGGATGGCTTTATATCATGGGAATATCATATCAATGTGCTGAATATGTGCACCTATTTCAAAAACACCTTGTATATTGAGAAACTAGGTACGCTACTACGAGTTGAACGTTAGGTTAGTGGTCTGGACAATCTGATTTCCACGTTGGTGACTGGGGTTCAATACCTGAGAGGCGTTCATTTTTCTTCACAATTAATTTTTCAAAAATATACTTTTCAGAAAAATGATTCATTTAGTTCAAAACAAGTTTCTGTGTTTTGAACTACCTTGTATTCGTGTAAATTAAATAACAGTAGATAGAGAATCAGAAGTTAAGATCGGGACATGTGAGTCATTCTGACCAATAATGAATAGTTTCGACACAAAAAATCCTAAAGTGAAAAAATCTCGATTTTTGAACACCCTATTTATTTCTGTAATCATTTTCGCTAGACATTGATGAAAGCAGCTCTTCAGGGAGAATCTAAAAATACAATTAAATACAGGCTGCTCCATTTGGAAATCGAGAGTTGATGCCCGTTACGCTTCTAGATTTCAACTTTGAAATATGATAATTGCAGAAAAATGTGTTCTCTGCCAAATTGAAATCGACCTGTCCGAGCGATTTTCAATTTTTTCAACGACATCGGAGATTTGGGGGTGACACGTTTAAGCTGATGGAACACACTGTATATAAACAGATTTTGGTGCATCACTGTCTTTCCGTACTTTTCTAGGCTTTATTATTTACAATTTTCCAGACTGTACTTTCAGGAACGCCGGTTAAAGTTGATGTTTCCTTTAATGAACAATGTTTTTCGTGGCCTCGCTCTACTAACTTGAATAAACACTTTTTTCCACCACTAGCTATAAAACCTATAACATTATTCACTCCTTTTCGAGGCGTATTAACTGTGTTTTTACTACCAAGGTAATTTTCGTCATTTTATGAACCACTTGTCAAATCCCAGTCACTCGAAATCATATTGTCACTCCGAATTAGAGCTTTCCATTTTCATCATCATATGTATCTTTTCTGTTGATTAACCGACAAAAATTATGACTGACATTCAAAAATAATACTTTTATTGCTTTATCATATGCATCGAATATCAACTTATGTCGTATATCATTTCCCCATCTCAGGTCAGTTTCTTAGATTTTGAAAAGAACAGAACAAAATTGAATTGCTCTGTATATGTACCTACATGTGTTTGTTATCAGAATTTACAAAAGAACTCGTATTTTTTCATTTTGTGGTTGCCTTTAATTCATGAAACTTTACTTAGATATCAGGAATTTGAATACAATAGAGTTAGATATCGAATTTCAAGGTTAATAATTAGTATTCGAAATATCTAATTCAGACTGTTCTTTCCAGGATATAGTGTCGGAATCGAATAATATTTCTTTTAATTATTCATATGGATACCTCAATGAATATTTCAAAGCGAAGGTCAACCTATTAATGATGATATTTTGATTTCAGTTAACCTTTCCGGAGTTGGACGAGTGGATATGTCACATTTTGATTTGCTCAAAGTATTAGGAACTGGAGGTGAGTAGAAAATAATTGAATCTTTCATTCCTGTGTCAGTATTTTCTTTCCTATTTTCTTTATTCTGAGTGAAATGAATCAGAAAATATTAGTAAAGAAGTAAAGAATATTATACTTAAAACTTAGTTCGTGAGTATTATCATATAATACATCATTGAATTGCTTTCTTACTAAATTTTTTCAAATGAACTTCTTTGGATATTTTGCAATGTAATCCTATTTTTCGCTTCTCCATAGTGATTGACCATTCTGGACCTTTCCCAATTTTAGTTCGAGAAGCATGAAGTTGATTTCAAAAAGTATCAATTGTATTTCAAATCAGTCATTTTAATATCAAAAAGTATCGAATGTATTTCAAAATTATCAATTCAATTTCAAAATGCACATTTTTTTGTCAATTCAACCCATACTATTTCTTTGAGTGAAGGTATTTCTAACTTTTCTGAAAGATCGCTTACGCATTATTCGCTAACAAAAGCACTTTTTATCTCACAATATGGTTACCTTGTCTCGGCAAATTTTCAACTCGAGAAAAGTTTTAATTTAGTGCCTATAACAATTTGAGAAATGGCAACTAACTTGAACAGATATACCCCACACGCCACAACGGGTGAACATTGATCTTTGGACAAAACCGAGATTAGCTAATTCATCGAACTTTCAGACATAGTTTAATAAATCATTGTTTTCTGTAGTAATAATCGTGGAATATTCCAAACCAGTTATTTAATATTCGTGTCGTTGAATGTTTCCAATTAAAATTAATTGAATTTGCCAAGGTAAAAGAGAAAATGGAAATCATGTTTCAGGACTTTCAGGTAAACGTATTCTGTTTCAGCTATGTTCATTAAGTATTTCGCTTCGGAAGTCGAGAATAAACCTTCAAGTATCCCAAATTTTTGTACTCGTATATTTTATTGTTTACCGTTGTCTGCTACTTATGGGAACGTGAATAATCGTGATTTTCTTTTTAAATTCTCAGAATACATTAACTGTAATTTAGTGGCTGATTTAGTATCCTCAACTGTGTCGGAATGATGTTTGAGTCTACTACAGAAATATGCACATATTTGAATTTTCATGCGATTTCACGATGTCGATCCACATTATAGGTATATGTAGTCAAAATTGCTATATATACAGTGTGTTACACTTCGTTCATGACGTTACGAAAATACTGCAGAAAACAGAGCTATGCATTATTGTTTACCTACTTTTCACTCTCTTTTTCATTGGTTCATAATTGAATTCATCTGTGATGTTTACTGCTGGCTATCGATTGGTATTTCTCTGTTCGTTGTTATTGATTCTAACTCAATTTTTGCTGTAAATAAGGAATTATATTGTGATTTTTAGCCTACTAGTTATCGTTATTGCATACCTCTTGGTCAGAATGTTTTGTTTACAAATTTTGGTAGGTAGGTAGTTGGTTCCTGGAATTGTCACACATGACTGATTCAGTCCACAGGTATTTCGCCAAATTTCATCTTGAATTTCGAGTATCATTCTTGTAATTATTGTTGCCGTTATATTTCCAAATAAATATCATTGTTATGTAATTATTGTAATTATTGAAAATGTCACTGTCAGCTTGATGACGTTTAGTCTCTATTGACGGTAATGACACTAATGACGGATGACCACTATTTGCGAACCTCTGCATGCATCTTCTCGAATTTTCGACATTGTCATCATGGAACATTGACCCATAGTTCCCTTGCTATCATCACGAATACGGACTCTAACGGCTCACAATCCGCACCATATCTCGTTATGATGATTTGGCACTCAGTATCTTCGCCATTATGTACCTGTTTGTTGATTTGGCACTAATTCCTTGTAAGTATGGGCGTTATGGGTTATGTTACATGGTGATAAAGGGTCATCGCACGGGAAGAAGATGATGACGTATTTCGCCCCACTATTCAGGTCTACAATGATCCTCAGTTGCGCATGACCGCGTTTGAATATTTGAAGTTTCAAATCCAAACAAGAATAACTGGCAATAATATATTCTGACTTGAAATAAATGGTGATTTAATGATATTCCTTCTTTTCTGATGGTCTCGACACCTCTCTTGATATTATCGACATAGTTTTCACTACCATGGTGAGGTAGAAATGCCATGTACAGGGTGTTCGCGGGGATATCTCCCGCCTATAATTTTATATCGTCCGGTGATTGATGTGTGTGGGAGTATAGGGGAAGATACACAAAAAAAGGGTGATCTTCCGGTGAGATGTGGCAAGGACAGCCCCTTCGATCTTCATAGGCACCATTTTGTCTGCAGCAGTCTACCAGCCTGGTCACAAAAAGTAAGCCGTGAGATCTGTTTCTTGAATAATTTCGAATTTGTCTAACATTCGATTTTCCATTACTTAGTGTTGGGATTAATTAGGAAAAGATCTCAAATTTGGGATATCCATTATCATCGCTGGGATGATGGGATTCCTGTTGCCTCTATAGAGGGATTCTTCGTGGCTGAAATCCACGTGGCCGAGCCGACCTACATCACCACTTCTGGAACCCACACAACATCCAAGGTACTATATATTCTTTTAATCATCAGCTGCTATTTTCTTGTCATTCCTTGTGTTGGTAAAATAACGCACGATTGTCGTCATTCCATCTATAGGGTTCCTTTTATCGGGCTAAAGCCTCCTCACCTACCGATCGTCGCGTTCGAGATTTGGGCCCCATCAGCCCAGACCTGGGACTGTCTTGTAGCCGTCTGCAGTCAACGCTACGCTGCTTTAATTCACGTTTTTGGGGCCTTTTTATTTGTGGCTGAAAGGCGACACACCGGAGACACCACCCGACGCTGCCTGACTTCACGTACCTGATCCCCCTGTACATCAGAGCCAGATGATACACATCAGGACCTGCTCATAATTTGGTGAGTTCGTTCCATGCACCATCAGGGATAGTATTTTACTTGGGATAAACTACCACCAACCATAATTCATCAGTTTTAAATTTCATTCAACATAATATAATTGCAACATGATATTGATTTAATAGACACTCAGTATAGCTACAAAGTATACCCCTGTAAACCAAAAGTGCACTGCGGTAAAATAGGCCTTATTATTTCTTTTGTCTCATTGATATTTGATATTGATATTTTTGGAGTTGATGATAGGGAGAGATTAATAGAAGATTACAATTCAGACAATTTTTCTAATGACCTGTGTATTCTGTATAGACTGTTGAGAACAAATAACTATCGTCAATTTTTAATTGTACAGGGTATTCAATTTTCAGGTACATTTCTTCTTCACAACTTAAATTTCTATTTGAAAAAAAAAAACAAGGAATATACCAACATCAGCTAATTATTCTTAATGTAATCAAAAAGTTAGTGAAAGGATTTTTTTTTTTGTTCCTTTTTTTTTGAATTTTGAATACTGAAATGTACAGGGTTAGGTCATAAAATAATATAGTCAGTTATACAGTATTTGAAGATAGCATTTGTCAATTTTATTAGATTGTATATTTTACAACAGTGAATTAATTTATACAGGGTCATTCCAAAAATCCATTACGCTCACATTTGTTATCATTGATCATTGGATATCAATATACAGGGCGTACACATACAGGTGGTTCACAGTAATAGATCAAACAATTGATAATATATATATATTTTTCTTATTTACTAGAGGTTTACTCTGGTGAACATAAAATTTTCAGGTCGTGTTTGTTGTTGTACAGGGTGGTCAGCGTGCTGGGTGTATCCGTCTAGGTGTTGTCAAATTTTAGGGATTGTTTCCTTGTTCGTTTTTTTTTTCTTCTCTGGGAAGGGAGGGGGTATGCAAACTGTCGTTTGCATGTGCAAATATTTTCATTTTCCCTGATAGTTGATTTCCCTATATTTTTTGTCTGATATTTCAAATTGAATTTGACATTTGATCTTGAATTTTTTTTTGAATTTTTGATTGAGATTATTAACTATTTTTTTTGCTTATCGATCATTTTCGATTATTTCATACTTATTACCAGCCTATTTTGACTTCGAATTTATTATTGCCGAGATTTGAGACTGAGAAATTTCAATCGTGTTATTCTATAGTGAGCCAGGCGTGGACTTGAATTTATAACTGATTTTTGGGGGTACCGAGAAATTTTAGGATTATCATGGAGATCAATAGACTACGTAGCGATGAGCTAACTTATGAACTTTTGCTTCGCGGTGCATGCCTAGGAAATGGAACAGTTCAGGAAAAAAGGGTGCTATTAGGAGCTGCGTTGCAGGCTGAACAGGAAGGTTCATTACAAACATCCACCATGCAGTTTGATCCTAAAAATGAGCTTTTGATTTGTAATAATAAAGTAACTGAATTATTAGGAGATGTTCAAACATTTGATGAGGACAATTTCGAAAATGAATTTAAAAAAATTCAATCGCGGCTCATTCATGTCTCCAAACGTATTGATAGGCTTCCAGCTAGAATACCGGAAGATGAGATAGAAAGATTGAAATTGACCACCGTAGCCAATAATTTGAAACTTGCATTAGATTGTGCATATAGGGCTGCTAGGAGAAAATCATCTAATACTACTTCAGCCAGTAATACTGTTCCCACAAATAATAATACTCCTCCAAATGCCAGTTCCACCAGCCATTCTTTTGTAGATGATCTGATTTCATTTGACGAAGCAGAGGAACATGTCAATAGTTATAGTGAAAAGGCACCTAATGCTAATGGTAATCATGTAAATTTCAATATTCCGGCGGCACAATCTTCCCAGCCTAAATCAACCTTGGATCAAGATATGGAAAAGGACATTGATGTTTCAATTTTAACGAACAAAATTTCAGAAATGATGCGTGACATGAATGTAACTTCCGTACGTCCAGCACAAAATGTTAATGATTTTGGATTAAACCTCCCTAGTAGTCGTTGCGCTACCATAGGCACGACTCAAGTAGATCCCTTTTCACCGGTCAATTTTCATACTACGAATGATATCAGGAATATTTCTCGTGTTAGTTTCGAGTCTGGT